AGAAGGCGGGCGGCGGGACCAGGCGTCCCGCTGCTCTAGTTCTCCGGGGCGAGAAAAGCTGCTCCCCGTCTCCCTGGTCTGCTGGGGGGGCACTAGCTGCGTTCCCCCCTCTCCCCCTCCAGCAGACCAGGGAGACGGGGAGCAGCTTTTCTCGCCCCGGAGAAGGCGGGCGGCGGGACCAGGCGTCCCGCTGCTCTAGTTCTCCGGGGCGAGAAAAGCTGCTCCCCGTCTCCCTGGTCTGCTGGGGGGGCACTAGCTGCGTTCCCCCCTCTCCCCCTCCAGCAGACCAGGGAGACGGGGAGCAGCTTTTCTCGCCCCGGAGAAGGCGGGCGGCGGGACCAGGCGTCCCGCTGCTCTAGTTCTCCGGGGCGAGAAAAGCTGCTCCCCGTCTCCCTGGTCTGCTGGGGGGGCACTAGCTGCGTTCCCCCCTCTCCCCCTCCAGCAGACCAGGGAGACGGGGAGCAGCTTTTCTCGCCCCGGAGAAGGCGGGCGGCGGGACCAGGCGTCCCGCTGCTCTAGTTCTCCGGGGCGAGAAAAGCTGCTCCCCGTCTCCCTGGTCTGCTGGGGGGGCACTAGCTGCGTTCCCCCCTCTCCCCCTCCAGCAGACCAGGGAGACGTGGAGCAAAGCTGGGGGCCTGTGGTAGAGCAGGGGGGGCACTGCCGGTTGGTCCCGCAGCACCGCTCCTAGGCAATACTGGACCAACCCAGCAGCATCCCAGCTGCTCTGCCCCAGGCGTCCCAAAGTCAGCCGCTGCTGATACTGACCAGCGGCTGACTACAGGAAGCCCAAGGCAGAGTTGCTCTGCCCTGGGCTTCCTGGAATCAGCTGCTGATCAGTTTCAGCAGCAGCTGACTTGGGGACGCCTGGTGTTCTTACCTTGAATCTGTATGTAAGTGGAACTGGTGTCCAGATTCAGCGGCTGTTGAAACTGATCAGTTTCAGCAGCAGCTGATGCCAGTTCCGACTTACATACAGATTCAACTTAAGAACAAACCTACAGTCCCTATCTTGTACGTAACCCGGGGACTGCCTGTACTTGCCACAGGCGAGTAGATTGTATAATTTGTCGAGCCCTGCACATAAGCAAAATATGGCAAAAATGACAAGCTTCACAAATTGCACCAGTACCAGAACATCAGAGGCTGACACAAGCAAAACAAAAAATGCGGTGATAACAGACCAGGCTAATTTAGCAAATGGGCACAAATGCAAGCAGCTACAAACCAATGTTTGAACATCACCTTTCAAAACTGAGGTCAAGACTCACATTAAAGAATACAAACATTGTTCCAAGTTTCATATCTTATGCCAGGGGTGGCCAACCCGTGGCTCGCAAGTCTCAAAAAAATTGCAGCTCCTGACGGAACTGGGATGGTACCCAGAACTGCTCAGGTCAGCCGCTCTCACAGCCGGCCCACTGGGGGCCGCATGCGTGCTCACGGCCTGCACCGTTCTGCTCACCACCCCCAGCACACTATGTCATATCCTGCATATGCAGGCCGGATCGTACACAGCTTCCCAGCCTGCACGTGCCAGCAGCAGGCAGCTGAGCACAGGCAGCAAAAGAGGCTCCGGGTGCGTTGGCGGACCTGGGCATAAAGTTAGTAGGGGAGGGAGAGAGGGATTGGGTGGGTACAGAGGTGCTCAGGGCAGGCTGGCTGCTCAGCACACATGTCCCAGCACCTGGAAGGAGAC